TTTATTTTCAAGCTAATTATTGAAACAATAGGAAAGTGGTTCCTCAAAGCAGAAAGAATCGGCAGAAAAGTAGGATGAAATGTCCAAGATTACCCAAAGTGACTTCATTTTTTAAATGCAAACACAGATAAATTATTACTGAGGAAACAAATGTAACATGTTAAGCTAGGCCTAGCTGCTGTGATTCAGGTACATCACATGAATAATCTTGGCTTACAAAAGAACCTCATAGCCAACCTGATTCCAATTTAAAGGGTGCTGAGCAGACTGAACAAGTTCAAGATTATGCTTTCTCTAATGTGGATAAGAATCCTCTTGGTGAAATTCTGCATCTACTAATCAACGTACTGTGAAAACAGTTATTTCATCAGGACCAGCTCTCTGGCGAGATGAACTGAGTGATGCGCAGTGAATTATGATTTTAAATGAGGATCCAGTACAATGGATGGACATTCCTTTTCTGCAAAACAATGAAACAATATCCTCTTGCTTCACAAAGAAAAACTATTAACATTCATATGAAAAATGTGGGGAAAATATTAAGGACCTGTGTAGTTTACTTCAATTTTTCAGATAGTGAAATATGTTTCTGTTGTAAACTGTTCAGCTGAACAAACAAAAGCACTGCCTCTGCTATTAGTTTACAAGGGTTTCATTCCTGCCAGCACTTGTCAACTGCATAGAAGGACCAAGGTATTCACTACTGCTTATAACAAACATGGACAAATGACATAGTCAAAATTGTGCAGTTCTGAGCAAGGGTGGGATTAAAAATGTCAATTCTGAGTTGATCAGACAAGAGGATACATACTGGAAAGCAGTTTTAACACAAATCACTGCCATCATTCATCATTTGGCCAAGAAAACTTATCTTTCCATGACACAGCTGAAATGACCCACATAATGAAAACTTTTCCAGACAAGTAGAGCTACCAGCTATGGCAGAACATCTGAAGCAAGTTCAGTATAAGGAAATGAGTGATCACTATCCCTGCAAAACAATACAGAATGAATTTGTTGAGCTTCTCGAGAATCATATTGTGCGGCAGATGGTTAAGAAAGTTTATGCTAGATAATTTGCTGTGATAATGGAGTGTACTCCTGATATTAATCATCAAAAGCAATTTTTGATAAGTATACATATTGTTAACTGTAGTGTATCAGATGGTGCTCATGTTCCCAAACAGTTCATCAGATTTATCAGTGGGAAAAGATAGATATCAACAATTGCAGAGGCCAGTCTTGTATGAAAATGGCCTCAATATGAAGGGCATCAATGAAAGTGTTCAGAAAAGATTGTTGGACATCAATAACTAAGCAATGTATATGCCCTGTGCAAACTACACACTATATCTACTGGTATTAGATGCTGCAAAATCAATGGTGTGTTCATTGAGTTCTTCTGGCATTTTAGAGCAACTATATGGCAATTTGATAGATGCATTACACAGGCTGAATGACATAAAACATACTCTGTAT